GCAGAAGGATGCTAAAGCTGATGGATTCAAAACTCACCAAGAGATCCAACAGGACAGATATAGTTGTGCTACCCATCTTAGGCCTTCAATATGTCACTGATAAGAATGATCAATATAGTTTCTGTCCTGTGCCCTAGCTTGAAAATTGTCTGAAAGTCATCCCTTTGTAGATGCAGCCATCTTTCAGGAGAGGAAAGGCAGGGATTTTTAAAATGTTGTTTGTATTTCCTTTGTTTCTCTTGTTGCTTAATTTATTGATACCATTAACCATGAATAAATAAACAGTTACATAATTGGAATTAGGAGTTTTTAGGTGAAAAGGGCCATTTTTGACAAGAACACTCTTACTTCATTTAAGGTCTTCATGTTTTATCAGGGCTCATACAGGACGTATTGGTCACTGAAATAAGACTTTTTAATTTATTTAACTAAAAAACCCAATATAGAAATAAATATGGACTTCCAGGTTTTGTGGGTTGAGATGTGAGATGGCCCATTTAAAAGTATCTTGTCAGTTGTTTTGTTGGTTTTATCTTTAATGACCATTGTTACTATTTTTTTTTTAAAAAAAATATTTTATCCTGTTATCCATCCAGAGTCACTATTGTGGTAATCTGCAACATTTTAAATGAATTTGATGAATTATAAATATATAAGAACAGTAACAATATTTTTATAATATATCTTGCAAGCATACTGTATCAGAAAAAAAAATGTTTGGGGAGGCCAAAAAAGGATCTATCATTTTATTTTCTAAAGTAGCTCATTTTTTTTAATGAAGTTATATTCACTGCCTTTTTAGACACCACTGTGAAAAATGTACCTTTGTTACAATGCAACAAAACTTTCCGAATGGCGATCTGTATTTACCATCACAGAATTTTTCCTCGGTTTCCTTTATTTGTGACTGTTTTCTTCTGTTCTTCCCTCTTAGGCCCTGCCGCAAAAAAGAAGTATGTCAGTTATAACAACCTGGTAATCTAATCCGCTGAATCAGACGGAATCATGGGAGGATGGAGATTTTCATCCATTCAGTTCACCAAACCTTATGTAGGCCTGTTCCTGAAGCTGCTGAATATGCACTGCTGGAAGAGCTGAAAGGCCAGGCACTTATTATTATGGAGGATCCAAGTATTCTGAACAGCTGCTCAATGAAAATATTCTTACTATATTCTTGGCTTAATAAGTCACTGGCACTGCCATTAGGCTGTGATGTTGGACCTTTTTCTTTGTTTGGGAGACATTATCTCTAAGCTCCAACCTGCAACGTTGGCCCAGCATCTCTTGGGTGGATTGCAATCGGCAAAGGTGACTTTCAAGGGGCTACTTTTTTGTCTTTATATGTACTTCAAAACTGCAAGTTTTTCAACTTTCTGTCCAGCTTGTGAGGATTTTCTTTTTCTTTGTTCTTTTCACATACTGCCATTTTCATTGTTTTGGAGGATTAACAATGGTTTGGAATGCACAGCCTCATGCAAGCTCTCTTTGTTTCACAGCACATTAAGTAGGAAGGAAAAAACAATAAAGACCCTCCCAAAGTTAGGAAAGCATTTTTATTTGTGACATGTATGATCACTATGGCATACTTATGGTTCATATAAGTTTTTTTTTTTTAATTTTAAAAAAGGGAGAAAAAAGTCTTAAGACCAAAAACTGTGCTGATTAAGCAGGCCCCTTCCTTGTTCCTCACCTCCACCTCCACCACCTTCATCCTCTGCCTTTCACAATTCTGATGGCAACAAAAAAAAGCAGAACGGTTTGCTGAGCTTTGATAGAGGTCGTCTCAGTATTTGGAATGCATGCCAGTAGTGTAATTTGTTCATATTTTATGTTAGGTACTTCTACTTTTCTGATTTTTTTTTTCATTAAGTATATAATTTTGCAATAATTTCAATAATTCTTATGCTGTTTGGGAGAAAGAAAATGGCTTTTACATGTCTTGAATTTCTTTTCCCCCCTCTTTGTTGATGCCCTATTGACTGACCGGTGTGATTTAAAAAAAAAAGAATTTTAAGGAAAAAAGCATGTATGTTTTATACTGTTTGTAATAAGTAATTTTGTTGATCTTGCTGCTTATGTGCCAATTTAGTGAGAACAAATCTTTGCTGCAAAACTCCCCCCTTTCCATATTCTCAATCCTGTGATATTGTCCAAGAATGTATCAATAAAACATTTTGGTTAAATTTTCTTTATGTATTGTAACAATGCCTATTTTATTGGCATCACATATATGTTTTGAGAGTTATCAAGATGAGAAAGACACAAGGATGCATGAATTTGAGCCTTTCTAGCAGGCCTGCTTTCTGCGCAAAGGAAGAATGGATCCTGAAATTGGAAGCTATCATTTACCCAAAGGAAATTCTACAGATATGTTATTCTGGTGCTGGGAAACTTTCAAATTATTATGCATGCAATGGTAAAAGTCAACAATTATTTAGAACTACTTGATTATAAACACTGACCATGTACAAGATGAAAATTTATAATATTGTGAAGACTACACACTAACTTCAAAACACAGTAGATGCATGAATCAATCTTCAAATAAGTCCTAGTCAGAATCCATGGGAATTGGCTCAAATATTAGTAATGTGTTCAATATGTACGAAAATGAGGAAATGACTCACTCAGCAGGAATTAGATAATATTTTTGTATATTTTACTGATACCCAATGCTTTTTCTAAGTAGCAATTGTTATAGAATGTCCTCTAAAGAGACATGATACCTTACTAGACAATGTGTAATTTATTGGTCATTATTTCAGAGATAACTTGCTTCCTTAAACAGAGAATCAGTTGGACAAATTGACAAAAAAAGCAATGGGAGCAGGAATGATTGCCTGCCAGCTTCCCCAATGACTTTCCTTGTAAGAAACTGGCAGAAAACGTTGGAAATAACAATCATGTGACTGGCTGACTGTAGCAGTGCAGTAGCATATTAGCCCTGAAGTGGCAACAACTTTCACATTTAAATCCCAGAAAAGTCATGGCTCTTGGATTCTGGATATATTGTGTAAGTTATCCCAAGTGTGATACATTGATTCAAAAATGTGATGCCTCATTTCAAAAATGTGATGTCTCATTTCATCCAATTGAATGTTACAAACAATCAAACACAAGAGTTTCATAGTATATAAGTTACCAATCTTAATATGAAAAGATTGCCTCTTTCCTTTAACAAATTTCTGGAAATGATCCAGATGTATGGGGGCGGGGGAGGGAGAGGCAGAAAGAGAGAGATTATATTTTATTTGCTATATGCCAACGAAGTATAATGCGGATGTACTGGTCAGCTGCGAATTACATTCTTAACATACTGAATAGCTACAGTATGATTTCAGGAAAGGACATTTTAATTCAGTACAGCATGAAGCCAAAAAGACCTTAAACAGCTAAATATGTCATGTATATGATGAAAGGAAAAAGTGAGACAGCCTCTACAGGAAAACCAACATAATTTATTCTGCCTCTAGTTGAGAAACTGAACTTGCAAAGCAGCCATATTTAGTTTCTAATTTGAAGATCATATTCTAAAATATTTATTGTTCCATTTAATCTAAACATCATGGTAAATTACACTGATGAATGGTAATCAGCATCAAAACAAAATATGTGAACATAGAAAAAGGGTAAAAATGAAGGCTTCTATATACCATGACAAATCTGACTGAATTTTAAGACATTACTTTAAGTGGCTGAGAGCAAAAAGGAGGTTGCTCTACAAATTTTCAGGAAGTCATTCCTTAATGGGAGCAGATTTCTGTGGAATAGGTATCTACAGATTTTTTTCTTGCTTGTACCTAACCATAGAAAATACCAAAGGAAAAGTCATGCTACATTTTTAGTGTGTTGTGATCTCACAATTGTGATCTCACAAACTGGACTGTATTTTCCTCCATCAGCCAATACTGTCCAAGACAGTGGTGGGATTCAAAAATCTTTACTACCAGATCTGTGAGCGTGGCTTCATGGGCTTGGCAGGGGAAGGATACTGTAAAATCTCCATTCCCTCCCCACTCCAGGGGGAAGGTTACTGCAAAATCCCATTCCCTCCCCTCCCCACTAACCTGCTTTCCAGCTCTATTCTCCTGTACAGGGCAACAAAAGAAGACCCAGCTGATCAGCTGGGAATTGGAGGCAGAGAATAAATGGGGATGGGGCCAGTCAGAGGTGGCATTTGCCAGTTCTCCAAACTACTCAAAATTTCTGCTACCGGTTCTCCAGACCTGGTCAGAACCTGCTGAATAGCACCTCTGGTCCAAGAGCTGTGTCAAAGTCTGTAAAATCTATTAAGCCTTGTCCCTGAGTTTGTTGCTTGATTTGAAAAAGGTTGGTTTCTTGGCTGTTATACATATTGTGCTTTTGAGTCAGCTGTATTATGATTTTAGATGATGTTAGCCACCCAGATGCAACACAGCGGAATGAGCCCCATAAAAATCAAATAAGTTAAACTCAGATGTGAGGAAAAGTCCATATTAAAGGGAAACATTGTATAAGAAATAGCAGTGATTATGCTAGCCATGTCCTTGCAGAATTTGGGAAGATAGTTATATAGCAATAGACCTATATATTGTTTGATAGTGCTTTATTGCACTCTCTGAGTGGTTTACAAATATCAGAATATTGCCCCCAACAATTCGGATCCTCATTTTATTGACATTGGAAGGATGGAAAGCTGAATCAACCTTGAGCTGGTCAGAATCGAAGTCCCACTGTAAATAGAGTCCGCCTGCAATATTGCATTCTACCCACTGTGCCACAATGACTCCTACAGTCATTTAGTGATATCTGAATTCCTAGTATAGTTCCAACCTCATCTAAAAGAATGCATGTGTTTTTAATCAGCTAGGAATGTGATACAGTAGAAGCTACCATATTTACAAAGATAACTACTAGGTAAATAATAACAAGAAAGAAAGAAAGAAAGAAAGAAAGAAAGAAAGAAAGAAAGAAAGACTTAAGGTAAATACGTTTCAGTCAGCATTGCATAGTGTCTAGACAAGAATTGTGTGAACTGTAAAAGCACAGAGGAGGCATATATAATACCAGAAAATCCCCAGTAGCTTGCAAATGTCATTTCAGGAAAGAATTGAATGACAAAGTCAATTGATTCTTTTGTAGAGGTTGTTTTGATTTCCCTAAACCTATTTTATTCAGGAGAAATGGATGCCCCCTATGCTTTCTTCAGAGTATTATTAGCAGCAAAGGTGGTGATTGGATATAATTCACAAAGTTTCTGTATATGATACTCACAAAGATATAGATCAAGGGTTTAGACTGTATTTTACAGCACAAGAAATATAAACCGTACAAAATTATACACCTCAATTGATTAGCTGAATCCAATCTGAAACTCTAGAAAATTCATTCCAGAAGTAACTTAGATGCCTTGATGCCTGTAACTGAAGTGACATTTAAAGAAAACTAATTTTCTTTCTCACATATTTTAAAGAAAATCTATTCTATTACAATGAGATAATATTTTAAATATTAGAACATGGGCACAATATTCAACCACCATATTCTGGCAATACATTCCTATATAGGATTCAATGAGTAAGGAATTATCAGTAGCCTCTCCCTGTTCCAAGTTACATTGGAGACGTTGTTAAAGTTCAAAAATATAAAACTAGTAGGCAAAGTTGGTCCAAAGCTTTATTTAGAGTTCTGGTACACATGGAAATTGTTCAATCAATTAGAGTAGAGCTGGAAGGGACCTTAGAGGTCTTCTAGTCCAACCTCATGCTCAAGCAGGAGACCCTATACCATTTCAGACAGGTAGCTATCCAGTCTCTTCTTAAAAACCTCAAGTGATGAAGCACCTACAACTTCTGAAGGCAAGCTGTTCCATTGGTTAATTGTTCTCACTGTTAGGAAGTTTCTCCTTAATTCCAGGTTGCTTCCCTCCTTTATAAGGAGAGAAGCAACCTGGAATTTCCATCCACTGTTTCTTGTACTGACTTCTGGTGCTTTGAAGAAT